TGTTTTTTTCCCCCCTGTCTCTCACTCTATCTCTCACTCGCGACGGAGGGGATTCCATTATGTCTGAGTGCACTGCCCATCGCGTCCAGGCAGCACTAATCCTGCCCGGCCTCGCGAAACCCCTCCGTCCTCCCCCAGCCCACCCCCCGAAAAAATATTTCCTGTCGTGCTCGTTTTCAAAGTCTGTTTCAGAGTGGCGCCGACATTACGTGACTTGTGTGTCACGGTGTGTGTGTGTCACACTGTGTCTCTGTGTGTCACACTGTGTGTCTCTGTGTGTCACGGTGTGTGTGTCACTCTGTGCGTCTCTGTGTGTCTCTGAGTCACTGTGTGTCTCTGTGTGTCTCTGTGTGTCACTGTGTGTCTATGTGTGTCACTGTGTGTCTCCGTGTGTCACTGTGTGTCTCTGTGTGTCACGGTGCGTCTCTGTGTGTCACTGTGTGTCTCTGTGTGTCACGGTGTGTGTGTCACTGTGTGTCACGGTGTGTCACGGTGTGTGTGTCACTCTGTGCGTTTCTGTGTGTCACTGTGTCTCTGTGCGTCTCTGTGTGTCTCTGTGTGTCACTGTGTGTCACTCTGTGCGTCTCTGTGTGTCACTGTGTGTCTCTGTGTATGACGGTGTGTGTGTGTGTCACTGTGTGTCTCTGTGTGTCACTCTGTGCGTCTCTGTGTGTCACTGTGTGTCTCTGTGTATGACGGTGTGTGTGTGTCACTGTGTGTCTCTGTGTGTCACGGTGTGTCTCTGTGTGTCACGATGTGTGTGTGTTACTGTGTGTCACTGTGTCTCTGTGTGTCACTGTGTGTCTCTGTGTGTCACGGCGTGTGTGTCACTCTGTGTGTCACGGTGTGTCACTGTGTGTCTCTGTGTGTCACGGTGTGTGTGTGTCACTCTGTGCGTCTCTGTGTGTCACTGTGTGTCTCTGTGTGTCACGGTGTGTGTGTGTGTCACTGTGTGCCTGTGTGTGTCACTGTGTGTCTCTGAGTCACTGTGTCTCTGTGTGTCACGGTATGTGTGTGTCACTGTGTGTCTCTGTGTGTCACTGTGTGTCTCTGTGTGTCACTGTGTGTCTCTGTGTGTCACGGTGTGTCTCTGTGTGTCATGGTGTGTGTGTCACTCTGTGCGTCTCTGTGTGTCACTGTGTGTCTCTGTGTGTCACGGTGTGTGTGTGTCACTGTGTGTCTCTGAGTCACTGTGTGTCACTCTGTGCGTCTCTGTGTGTCACGGTGTGTGTGTGTGTGCGCTGCGTGCCTGTGTGTGTCACTGTGTGTCTCTGAGTCACTGTGTATCACTGTGTGTCTGTGTGTGTGTCACTGTGTGTCTCTGTGTGTCACGGTGTGTGTGTCACTCTGTGCGTCTCTGTGTGTCACTGTGTGTCTCTGTCACGGTGTGTGTGTGTCACGGTGTGTGTGTGTCACTGTGTGTCTCTGAGTCACTGTGTGTCACTCTGTGCGTCTCTGTGTGTCACGGTGTGTGTGTGTGTGCCCTGCGTGCCTGTGTGTGTCACTGTGTGTCTCTGAGTCACTGTGTATCACTGTGTGTCTCTGTGTGTCACTGTGTGTCACGGTGTGCGTGTATCACTGTGTGTCTCTGAGTGATTGTGTATCACTGTGTGTCACGGTGTGTGTGTGTCACTGTGTGTCTCTGTGTGTCACTGTTTCTCTGTGTGTCACAGTGTGTGTGTGTCACTGTGTGTCTCTGAGTCAATGTGTGGCACTCTGTGTGTCACGGTGTGTGTGTGTGTGTGCGCGCTGAGTGCCTGTGTGTGTCACTGTGTGTCTCTGAGTCACTGTGTATCACTGTGTGTCTCTGTGTGTTTCTGTATGTCACTGTGTGTCTCTGTGTGTCACGGCGTGTGTGTGTCACTGTGTGTCTCTGAGTGACTGTGTATCACTGTGTGTCACGGTGTGTGTGTCACTCTGTGTGTCTCTGTGTGTCATTGTGTGTTTCTGTGTGTCATTGTGTGTCTCTGTGTGTCACGGTGTGTGTGTGTGTGTCACTGTGTGTCCCTGTGTGTCACGGTGTGTGTGTGTCACTCTGTGCGTCTCTGTGTGTCACGGTGTGTGTGTGTGCGCTGCGTGCCTGTGTGTGTCACTGTGTGTCTCTGAGTCACTGTGTATCACTGTGTGTCTCTGTGTGTCACTGTGTGTCTCTGTGTGTCACGGTGTGTGTCACTGTGTGTCTCTGAGTCACTGTGTGTCACTGTGTGTGTGGGGGGAGCGGTAGTGTGGCGGTTAGCGCTACGCCACGCTACGAACCTGGCGACCCGAGTTCGATTCCTGCTCACGGCCACCAACACCAGTGACGATTATCTAAATTGGTCCTGGGCGTCCCCTGGGTCGACACAGCCTCAAATGATTACCTGGTGAAGTGTGTAAACATCCTTACTGGGGAGACAAAGACGGCCGGGCATGGTGCTGGCCACACACAACCCCTCGTGTGCCTTGCCGACTTTCATAGGTGCTCACTAACAGCACTTGCCCAACAGTCTATTAAGGCTATACGGGGGAGCTTTTCTTTATCTTCGTGTGCTGTGTGCCTGTATGTGTCACTGTGTGTCTCTGGCACTGTGTGCCTCCATAGGTGCTCACTCACGGCCCTTGCCCTAACAGGCTGTGTAGGCTGCACAGGGGATCTTTGTCTTTGTTACTGTAGCCAACAGATAGAGTCTGCAGAGCAGCAGTGTGTTATGGTTGGCTCACTGAGCTAGGAAACTCGAAATCCCGAGTTCAGATCCCGGCCATGGCCAACATCGGTGGTGAATATCTGAACTGATGATCCTGGACCTGTCCTAGATTGACTCGGCCATAAAGGAGTAGCTGGTGCAATGTGTAAACATCGCCACTGGAGAGGCAAAAGTGGCCGGGCGTGGCTGGCTACTGGCAACACTGAACCCTCTCGTGCACCATAACGGCCTTCGTAGGTGCTCACTAACAACACTTGCCCCAATGGCTACAGGGAGGGATCTCTGTTTTGTTTTGGCTGTGGTCTGTGTCCGTGTTGGTGTGTTTGTGTCACTATACGCCATGTTCCCGCAGCTCACTCGGCGATGAAACGCCCGTTAAGCGCCCGGGACCCGGTTTGCGTTCACAAGCAAAACGAAGCTGGGGCGAGGATGTGAAATTATTTTGCCGTGGCATTTCGCGTGTGGCGTGGAGAAATGCCAGCGGCCACCCTGGCGGAATGATTGCACCGGGCGACGAGGGGATCAGTTGGCGGCTTGACGTCGGCAGAATTTGCGGAAAGCATTTTTGCGTTTCCAACGCCCGCCTGCAAAGTTACGGAACGCTCTGCCACCGTTAATCATGCCGTTGACACCTTCAGACGTATTTTATGAGGTTCCATCAGCTCACTTGATAAAATATTTAGGCAGTGACAGCAGTGGCGTAGTGTGGTTGGCACGGTGCCATGGTGCATGAAATAAAATGGGGGGGTGGGTGGGTGGGAGGCCTTGTCCAGCTTCTCTGCTCTTCATTGCCTGGTGGCTGGACCCCACCGACCCCTGGGCCCTGGTGCAATGGCACCGCCTGCACACTCTCTAGCTACGCCACTGGGCGACACAGATGCGATAGGTAGGGGCGGGGGTCGGCTGAGATCGCGATGATGGCGATGTCGCTGGCGACGTTGATGAGACGACGGCACCGACGGCATTCGCCGGGCGCGTCGAGCGGTGTTTTCATCTCAGATTTTTAAAAAAAGTCAACCCCTCGCGTTGCAGTCGTCTGTTTTCGGCCCGTTTCTTGTCGATCGACCCAGCTCGGGTGGAATGTCCCGGCGTGCGCGCTCATTCCCATTCATAATTCACGCAGCGCACGGCATTTGTTAATTTTTTCCGTCGGCACTGTGCGTCCCTCGCGGCCCCGCTCCCCTCCCCCGCGCCACCCCCACTCCGACCCCGTTAGTCGCCGGCGTATCCCACGCCGGCGAGCGAGCGCTGCGATCTGAGTGACGAGAGCCGCGGAGGACATTGTGGGCGGTTGGCGTTGGCTGACGGCCCTCCGGCTTGCCCCGTCCGACCGCTCGCTCGCTCGCTAGCTCTCTCACCAACTTGCCGACTCACTCGTTCACCTGCTCGTTTAACCCTTCCGCATCAATGTCGCTCACTCGTTCACTTGCGTCCTCTGCCCAGTTGCTTGCTCGCTCGTTCGTTCCACCTCCCCCCACCCCCCCCGCTCACGCACCTGCTCGCCCCCACCCGCTTTAAGCGCTCGCTCACCCGATCGCCTGCTCGACCGCTCGCCCACAGGGCACGTGGATCCACCCTCGTGCCCTCCCGCGCACCGCTCAACGAGGGGCCGGGTGAATCGAGGGCTCCTCCAGTACGCACGCGATGGCGCCCCGTATCATGTCCAGCCTCGTATCTGGCATCGCTCTAACGCAAGTGAACAGTGACTAGCGACAACTGCCATTGATTCCCTCCCTCCTTGACCCCGCTCCCCCTCCCCTCCTCCCTTCTCTCACCATCACCCACCCCCCCCCCACCACCTCCTCCCACATCATCTCCCAAACGGCGACGGAGCTTCGCCGCAGGTTCCCGCCTAAGCCGGAGATGATCGGAGCGGCGCTGACGGCGCTTCGTCGCCGTCGTCGGGAGAAAATGATATTGATGATGGGTCGTGCCGCGCGGGGGAGGCAGCTGTCGATGGCGGTTAACACCTGAGAGCTGGGCGCGTGACGGACGACCGAGATCGCTGTCGATGCGGCCTCTTTAAGCCGCGCCGCTTTTACCGCTTAGGGCCGAAAGCCGCGTATTGACAAAGCAACCTCCCGCATTGAAACTATTGCATTAGCCCCGCACTCCTCTACGTGTGCGCTCCCCAACCCCGTACCCCTTACACCCCCACCCCCCCCCCCCCCCTTGCCTCTCCCCCCACACCGCTCCCCCTCCTCCTCACCGTTAAGTCAGTTCACCCACATTGCTTGTGGCGTTCAAGTAACGTGATGTGAGCCGCTGTTCTCTCTGTCCTGCCGGACGCTCCGCGCTGCCCGCTGACATTAAAAGTTCGCGATGGAAGCAGTGCGTGCATGCGCAACCCCGTTCCGCGAGGGCCTCGCTGCGCCGGGCCGGTTGTCGGGGCCTTTTCACCGTACTTCACCACGCCGGTTGGTGCAGGTTCATAAAGGTGGGGAAGCATAGATGTCGGGGCAGGGGTCATATAGGGCGGTAAATAGAGCAACATCAATAATAAAAGTCCCTTCAACGGGGCCCCAACTCGTAGCTTTGGCCACCAGGGGGGACAAAGGTCACCAGTGTGGGGTCAGGGGGGGGGGCGGGGGGACCAAGGTCACCCCTTGCCCCCCACACTGGCTCCGCTACTGCGTGTACCCGATGCGACCACCGACGGACCGACTTTGACCGCCGCTCCGCCTGCTTCTCTCTCCCACAAACCCCCCCGAAGGTTCACCAGTTCATCAAGCAGTTCGACGATGGCAACGCGGAGGTGGTGTCCATGTGGGTGTGTCGCAGCCTGGAAGAGAGGAGGGCCAACGCCCCCGTCTGACCCCGTGACCTCTTCGCTTGCTCGCTGAGTGCGTGGACGGCAGTGCCTGAACGACGCGAGCAGGACAAGGAGGTTACGTCGTTTTCGGACTCTTTGAGTGAAGGACTCTGTTATAAGCTCCCTCGCTCGCTCGCTCGCACGCACGCACGCACGCACGCACACACGCGGGTCTATCGATACGCACGCAAGAAATATACAGCAAAGGCCGCCGTTCGCCACTGAGGTGTTGGTGGCTGTCACCGCAACACTTGTGACAAGCTGGGTGACCCGGAGGCCCCGGGAGGCGTCGAAGGCTCGCTGGCAGGAGGGCACGCGACAGACCCATTGCCTGTTGCGGTTAACCGACTGGGATGAGAATATGTGCACGTACGTGAGCGCATGCAGCAGACATGCGCTCATATACATGCGCACACACACTTGGATGTCGCGCACACTGACACATGCGCACATATATATATACACAGACACACGAGGACGTTTTCTTACCTTTTTTTATTGACACTCGTTGGCTTGAACAAAAAAAAGTGTCGCTGCCACGGTTCTGCCTATGCACAAAGAAGTTTAGCGCAACAGAACCGTGACCCCGTGACCTAACAAAAACTGGAACTCTTTTTTTATTTTACAATGTAAGGCCCACTGAGCTATTATAGTTCTTTTTTTTCATAAGTGACCTGGCCACAGTTCATAGCTCAACGAAGTATAGCTTATCGCGTTCACATTCATAGCAGCCAAATACTCTATAAACTCACGTCGATTCCAAATGTGAAGGGATAAAAACCGGAGAAAAGTCCACACGACCGCGGGGAGAACACGCCAACTTCAAATATAGAGCAGGCGTCAGGGTTCGGGATCGAACCCGCGAACCTCCTGCATACCAGGCGAGGGAGTTAACATCTCCTAGCCACCGCCACGACCTCACGTGACCAGGAGCATGCGGCTGGACTCGGTTGCACCACAACATTTGGTGCCAATTCGAAAACAAATGCACTCCACTCGAGAGTGTTAACATTGGACATGCCCTTTGGTTCTTTCGATAAAGTCACGTGGGTAGAAAAATTAAATGAATAAATAAAACATTTCCATAGCAAAATAAAACGAATACAAATAATTATTTTATTTTTCTACCTACGTGACTTTACCGAAAGAACCAAAGAGTATGGATTGCTGCGGTCACGAAAGCTTCGAATCAAGATTGGACATGCCGACATGCCCTTTGGACTTTCTATGGAATTGTACAGACAAGTTGCACCGGTCTCCAAGAATAATGACATATACACAAATTGATATATTAATAGAACACAGAACGTTGTTAGCGTGAGTGGAAATGAACACAAGTCCATAAAGATGTTGCTGCGTTGTGCTAATTACAGTAGTCGTGTGTCACGTGTAAAGTTCGCATGTTGTCATAAATGCTGCGCATTTGAATTCGTTACAATTAATAGCGAGCCAGCAATTAGTTACAATTATAGCCATCGCCATCAGCTGTGATCCGTCGCGTTTGCAGTATTTATTTATGAACATCGTAAGGCAACGCACGGGCAGTTAGTTAAATATGTTGGCCACCAACGCCAGCACGTGCTGGATGATTATTTCAATTTATATCATTTGAAGGCAGCGCCCCTGTGCTGCCCGCGTGCCCGTTGGGTGTTTGTTCGCCACGTGACATGCAGTGCAAGCCGATGGCGACGTAAAATGTGTCCTGCTCACCGTTTGGCGTTGTTCTCAGGTGCGACACTGGCAGTGAGACGAGGTCACACAGAAGGCGGCTTGGTGTGTCTGGTGTAGGCCAATCAGTTTGAAGGACAAGGCCTCAGAAATTACCAGGGCATGTTTTGTTTGCATGTTCACCACAAGTACGTGTGGTTAATGTAGACTTAGATTCCTTGGCAAAGGTGTCTTATTTGGTGTTTGAACATCTTAACGCCTCCTGCTTTATTGCCAGAAAGGGTTTAAAAAGGTCCCGTGGTGTTTCCTGTTCGCCTAAAGATCGACGCTGTTTTACAAGTTTCAGCGGCGTTAAAGGCCAACCTCCACACTCAGCCACGCACACGCACACACACACACACGTGCGCGTACACAACAACCGCCATTCGCCACTGAGCGGCGGTGACATCACCACGGCGCTTGTGCCAGGCTAGGTGCACTTGGAGGCTCGCTGGCAGGTGCCGTGCACGCAAACACAAATTGTTGTGTTACCCAGCGCTCGACTGGAACGACTCGGCCCAAAGCGGCAGCTTATTTATTGCGCGACAGGGTTTGCCGAGACGATGCCGACCTAAGCTTTTGTGAAACTGTTATCGGAAATCGGGTCGTCGTCGCCCGAAAGTGTGTACTTTATCCATCGGTTGTGCTTACGAGTTAACGACGATTTGTAACGTTTCACGCTCGGGCGCAGTACAGGAGAGTGCGGGCGAAAGTTATGATCGCAACTGGCCTGCATCATCACTTCCATCTCAAACTGCCCTGGGCTTTCCACCTCCCAGGGCAGTTTTCGTCACAAATGTTCAGAGGGGGTGGGGGGGGCACTTTCGCCGATAAGACACCATCAGTCTAAGGGCCGCCACACCATTTGAAACTTTTGGGGTTTGACAGCACGATGATGATAGGGGGGGGGGGGGGGAGGGGAGGGGCAGTGTTTGTCGGGGGGCGCACCGCACGTCAGGGGCCCGCACTAAAGGCCACGAGGAGTCACCAGGGCCCGCCAGGGGCCCGCGGGCCTTGCAACAACAAAAAAACACTGAGTATGGATTACTGCAGTCACGAAAGTTTTACATCAAGAAAGAACACTTGGTCGAGGACGAGACAAGACGCGGGTGGGCCAGGCGTGGTGCTGACTGCACCACCACCACCACCTCGTGCACAGGTGGCACGGCCTTCGCTCGGTGCTCGCTAACACCACTTGCCCCAACAGTCTGTTCGAGGCTATACGGTTGACCTTTGTTTTGCAATGCGTGGACGACTGTGTCCCCGGCGGTGTCGTGGTGTTCGATTCCCGCTTAAGGTCAACACAAGGGACGGACATCTGAAATGATGGTCCTGGGCCCTCCCCTAGATGGGCTTGACCAAAGTGTGAAAATATCAGCACTGGGGAGACGAAGGCAAGCCAAGAATGGTGCTGGTCACCCACCCCCTCGTGTGCAGTGCCCCGGCCGTTTATAGGTGCTCGCTCGCTGCGCTTTGCCCCCAAACAGCACGTGGAGGCTGCGTAGGGGATCTTTGTGTGCGTGCAGCTTAGTGATTCTGGTTGTCTTATCGGTTCGAAAACAGCGCGCTTACCCGGGTTGAGTACCAGGCCACGATGCACAACTGCAGACAACATTGGCATTTGAACCCCTTTTTTGGGGGCATCCTGTAGGTCGGCTCAGCCTAAAATTACGACCGAGCGTAACGGGTTGCTGAATTTCGGCACCGGTACCAAAGATTTGAAGGTGTCAGAGCGCGAGTGTGTGTGGTGCTGGCATGCCAGCCTTGAATAGGCGCTCGCTAACAGCACTTATCCCTGACAGTTTATGAGGCTAAATTCATGGGGGAGGGGATCTTTTTCTCGACAGTGGAGTTTGCTAACCCATTATAATTTTCATTAGTTTACATGTTATGTTGTAGCTTGTGTTCAGTATTAAACTTTTGTTATAAATGAAGTGGGAGTTTTGCAACGTGTGGCGTGAGTTAGTTTAAAACGGACCGAGTCGTTTCCCGTGCCGCTTTCCTACCCTTCCATTGCGCTTGTTAAATGAGCGTCGTCGTCATCAATGATCATCATCAATGATCGTCGTCATCATCCGTGATCGTCGTCATCATCAGTGATCATCAGTGATCGTCATCAATGATCTTCGTCATCATCAATGGTCGTCATCATTAATGGTCGTCATCATCATCAATGATTGTCGTCATCAATTATCGTCGTCACCACACATCGTTACTTGAAAGTCGCTCCACAAGAAGACCATCCACGTACTGCCAAGGCAGAGGTGCACAATCACAAACGAGAAGCTAAACTTTCTTCATTATTCATCGACACTACCCTTCAATATATATGTGTGCAATAATGGTCGAACTTTTTTGACTTGGGGAGGCTTTCATGCTTCAGTGGATGGAGCTTGGCTGTCAATGATGGTTTCCCCAAGTGGTGATTCTTCGGAGCAGAGAGAGAAAGTGGAATGACTGACCTCTTACATCAATCTAAAACCGTTATGTCAACTTGTTCCAAAGTTTTCAATATTCCACACTAAAGTGCAATAACCAAGCGAAAGTAAATCTACCGAAGAAGAGCCATTGCCTGACATTAGCTTATCACTTCATGTAAGCCTCGGTGAGTCTAAAACTTATTTTTATCTTCTTTGGGTATTTCGGTAAAGTCACGTAGATAGGTTCACAGAAAATAACAAAACTACGACGTTTCGATCGCAACACAAGCGGTCATCAGTTAAAGGGGGTTAGCCTCTCAAGGCAAACTGTTTATAAAGGTTTAAAACAGTTTGCCTTAGGCTAACCCCCTTTTCCTGATGACGACCGCTTGTGTTGCGATCGAAACGTCGTAGTTTTTTTATTTTCTTTTAACCTATCTACGTAATTTTACCGAAAGACCCAAAGAATATGAATTCCTGCAGTCATGAAAGATTTAAGTCGTATTTTTTTTATCCTTGGGCTGTTGGGGGGCACGTATTGAGTTGAAACTTTGCCCAATCTCCAAATTACGTTTTTTTTGTATGGTTGACGAAACTCACCTTGCGTACCTTTGGAATTACGCAACAAAACATCCACACGAGGTGGCTTCACGAACCTACTTTGCTGTACAGTACTTCCATCTGCCTTCCAAACTCTTATCGCGTCACGGCGAGCTCTTGAGAGTCTTACAAATGTCTACGCCGCACCTCCCGATTAGTACGGTTGGCTACGTACGGTGCGAAAGAAGTTCAACATATACATGCGCCAGAAATCTGGAAAACCTCTGCCTCTTGGGCTCCACGTAACTCCACGCTCCAAGGTAGCACATGAGACCAACCAAGTAAAAAAAGCCTGCAAGCGATATATATTGGACACTGCAAGCATCATGTCCATACTCATCGGGGCCTAGAGGCGTGGGGGGTGCAATCACAATGACTTCTGTCACTGTAGAGGGGAGAGGGATCTTGCAGTGACACGTGACTGAGGTGTGTTGGGTTGTCAGTGCGTGTGGTTTCCCAACAAAGGTAAAATCGCCCGATGATGCTGGAGGTAATTACCGGCGAAACATCGTTCCTCAAATTGTAAATGTTGTGGATTTTCTTTTTAACAGACCGGTGGTCTGAAGTAGTAACGAATTGGCGCGTTTGGTTTACGCGACAAACCTTACTAATTGGCTGTGCTGGGCGGTGGCGGGTTAACGACACACAATTACGCGAACTAACCCAAAAAAAAACTTTCTTACGAACTTGAAAGAGCTATTTGGCCCTAGGTAAGGAAGCGATTCACGTCTCATCTGTTCCATTCCATTCTACGTGACTTTACCGAAAGAACCAAGAAGATGAATATCTGCTCCTGTTTGGTGGGTTGATGTTGATCAGGAGGGAGAGCACTGGAGGAGAGGGATGGATGGGGAGCAGAGAGGGTGGGGAGGGAGGCGGGTGGATGGGGGCAGATTGTGGATGGGAGGAAGAGAGGGAGGATGGATGGAAGTGAGGAATGGGGATGGATGGTCGCAGAGAGGGTGAGAGGGAGGATGGATGCAGGAAGGATAAGAATGGAGATGGATGGGAGGAAGAGGGAGGGTGGATGGATGCAAGGACGATGGAGAGGGAAGCAGAGACCATGGGAGGGAGGGAGAGTTGACCCATCTCGGTGACATTGATACACCGTGGCTGGCGAGGGCTGCCCGCGTAACAGGAGGCGTCGTTGCTTAACTTGATACAAGCGAGCGATCGCTCAGCCAAGCGTTGTAACTTAACGCTTCGTCTTAACGCTTCGTCTAATTGTAAC